TCTCTGCTTCTGCATCTTCAGGGGACCCAGTCTCACCCTGTTGCTACTGGTCCCTGTTCCACTTCCAGCTTTGAAATCATGATCAGCAGAAATTATGGAAAGGTTAATTCAGGGCTGGTGAGATGGCTTGGCAGGTAATGGTGCTTGCTGCCAAGCCTGATGACCTGAGTTCAATCCCAGGAGCCCATATGGTAGAAGGAAAAAACCTATTCCTCTGACCTTCATATTCATAAGTACTTGCCTGCATGCACACCCACACATGAACACACACACACACACACACACACACACACACACAAATGAATAAATGTAACAAAAAAAATTTCTTTAGCAGGACATGGTAGCATACGTTTAATCCTAGCACTGAGCAGGCAGAGCCAGGTCTCCATGAGTTCGAGGTCACCCAGGTCTACATAGCTAGTTCCAGGTCAGCTAGGGCTACATAGTGACACCTTGTCTCAACAAACAAAAACAGCAACAATAACAACAAAAATTTTCTTTAAAGGTTAATTCACAGGCATTCTGACTATCCAAACTTGGCTTGAAATTTGACTCCAGAATCAAGATTTGCCAGTCAGGGAAGTCAATTTGTCCTTGGTCCCTGTGGTCTCTCAGCAATCGAATGAGAATAAATTTGCAGAGACAAATACTTAAAAACATACAACTGGGGGGCTGGAGAGATGGTGCAGTGGTTAAAAACACTCACATGGCATCTAACAACCATTCGTAACTACAGCTCCAGTGGAGTCAACACCCTCTTCTGCCTCCGTGGACACTGCACACAGGTGCACTTACACACATGCAGGCAAATACTCATACACATAAAATAAAAATAAAATAAAAACCCGGGGGTGGAGGCTGGAGAGATGGCTCATCGGTTAAGAGCACTGACTGCTCTTGTATAAGACCGGGGTTCGATTCCCAGTACTCACATGGCAGCTAAGAGTCGTCCTTAGCTCCAGTTCCAGGGGAATCTGATGCCCTCTTCTGACCTCTGCAGCATTGCAGGGCATGGGAGCACTCACATACACGCAGGCAATATACTCATACACATAAAATAAAAATAATATTTAAAAATAAATAATAAATAAAGGCCAGGCATGGTGGTACACGCCTTCAATCCAAGCACTTGGGAGGCAGAGGCAGGCAGATCTTTGTGAGTTCGAAGCCAGCCTGGTCTACATAGTGAGTTCCAGGCCACATGGGTCTACAGGGAGACCCTGTCTCAAAAAAGCAAAAATACATAAATAAAAACACATATACACAATTGAAGAAATGAGAGGTTAATCTTACCATTCTCAGAAGTGGTCAAAGTCTCAAATCAGGTAAATAACTGATCAAGCCATTTCCCCCTAGACTGAACATATAAAGATTAACTAGATGATGCCTACCATTTTACATAAGTGCACCATAGATAAAACCAAGACTTCTGCCTCAGTGTATCTAAATGTTAAGCTTGAGTAATCAAAAGTTTAATTCTCTAGGGCTCAGGGTTCAGTGGTAGAGTACTTGCCTATCGTGGATGAGGCTCTGGGTTCAATCCCCAAGACTTAAAAACAAAGAAAAAGAAAAAATGGTTTAACTCTCTATTTGACCTCATAGATTTCAACTAGAGAGATGCCTTTAAAGACACAAGTAACTGTTGACTAAAATTAGCAAAAAAATAAAAATAAAAAGGGATGGGAATCAGGGGAGGCATCTTGTCCAAAGCTTAATCCAGTTTCCAGCATGCAATAAAGGAGTAAATAAAATAAGGACGGGCTAGAGAGATGGCTCAGCAGTTAAGAACACTGGCTGTTCTTGCAGAAGACCCGGGTTCGCATCCCAAGCACCCACATGGCAGCTAATAACTGTCCATAACTCCAATTCCAGGGGATCCGACAGCTTCTTTTGTCCTCCATGGGCACTGCATGACACAGGTGCACTTACCTACATGCAGGCAATACAAACATATACACAAAATAAAAATAATAAAATATTTAAAAAAAAAATAAAACAAGGACAAATACAGATGGCATAATGAAACCTGTTTCTTTTATGTTAACCTAAAAAGTTAATTAATTTTTTTTTTAATTAGCAGAAAAAAGTAAACTGAGCAGAGTGCTAGGTCTTGTCTGCAATTCCAGGGTTCAGGAGGCTGAAGCAGGAGCAAAGCCAGCCTGGGTGACATGGTGTTGCATGCCTTTAATCCCAGCACTTGGATCTCTGTGAGATCTAAGCCAGCCTGGTCTACATAGGAAGCTCCTGGATAGTAAGACCCTCTCTCAAAACAACAACAACAACAAAAACCCCCCAAAAAACAAAAGGCTGGAGAGGTGGCTCAGTGGTTAAGAGCACTGTCTGCTCTTGCAAGGACCCTGTTTCCAAAACTCACATGGTGGCTAATAAGTGTAACTCCAGTTACAGGAGATCCAATGCCCTCTTCTGGACGCCAGACACTGTATGACATGGGTGCACTTACTTGCATACATGTAGGCAAAACACTCATATACATAAAAAATTAAAATAAATGAATTAATTAAATTTTAAAAAAATTGTGAGCAAAACCAGGTAAGTACCTGGCCTTGTGGAGCATTCAAACCAGCTATTAGTCAAAGTCCCTAGATCTTCAAATGCAGGAACTTCTAGGAAGGACAGAAGGGTTACAGAAGCCCAGAGTGACAGATTGACTGCAACTTGGGGGTCAGGAATTGGAGATTTAACAGGGAGATGTGGGAGGACCTGAGTTAGGTATGCTGAGTCACTCTTAATTCCACAATCCTTTTGAAAATCTTGTCTCTGCAAGGTGGTGCACACCTTTAATCCCAACACTTGGGAGGCAGAGACAGGTGGAGCTCGGTGAGTTTGAGGCTAGACTGGTCTTCATAGAGTTCTAGACTAATTGGGGCTCAAGGAGACCCTGTCTCAAAAAGACCAAAAAAAAAAAAGTCTCAAGTCTTCAAAACCCAAGTAATAAATTCTGCTGGCTAAAATGGAGAAATGCATACACCAACGAATACATGTAAGTGTATTGATTCATCTCCAAATTGATAACTGGGAAGTATGCCAACACTTTCAATAATACTGTGGATGTCACTTAAGTAATCTTTTAAAAGGGACTGCTTGGATGTTTCAAGATGGTTGACCAGGGTAAAGAAGGAGGCTACGACTACAGAAGGCAGAAGAGAATAGAAGGAATATTTTAAAGTAAATAAACGTAATCTATTGGGAAGGGAATAGGTTCCATGTTTCAATAAGATTTGAAGATCTATGGAAATCAAAGTAAAAATATGTCTCCTGGCTGCACATTTTTAGCAATTATAACTTTAAATGACTTATGATAGCTTCTAAACTCAAGCTATGTTGACATCAGTTGGTTCAAGGCAACAAGATGGCTCAGCAGATTCAGGTGTTCTTACAGTGCAAGCCTGACAACCCGAGTTCAATCCCTAGAACTCACATAAAGGTAGAGAGAGAGAAACAACTTCTCTGAACTCCACACTTGCACCATAGCACATACAGATCTCACACACACACAATCAATAATAATACATTTTTTTTAAAGATCAAAAGGATGGACACTGCACAGTGAAACTAAAATGCCTTTTATTTGGAATCTGTACATCTGCGACAGTTAGAGTCTAGGAGCCTTGACTCTTACAAGTGGTGATGAGTTAAAGACCAGAGATAAAAACTGCTAAGAAGCCCCTCAGTCCACACCAGCTTAGGACAGTCAAAGAGGTCAAAGCAATGAGGTCTTAGTTCTGTGAAATCTAAATCTAGCTCAATGTTTTGTTTTTATACTAAAAGATCTATACCTTTTGAGAGTTTCAGAAGGTCATACTACTCTATCCCTAATTTATCAGCTGATTTTTCAAAAAAGTAGTATGGTTGTCCACATGTCTCTACAAAGATACCATAAATCCAGTTGGGTGAAGTCTTGCTAGCAAACAGCATCTGCTGGGACACGAATCTAAAAATGAAATGTCGGCAGCTGGGCGTGGCTGCGCAATTGCTTGGGAGGCTGAGGCAGGAGGATTGTCACTAGTAGAGTTCCAAGCCAGTCTAGGCGACAGAGTGAGACAAAAGAGATACGTAAATTAATTAGTAAGCCAAAGCAACAACAAAAGAAAAAACCGAAATAATAAAATACAATGTGAACAAGCCACTACGGTGATAATATTCCAGCCTCGAAACATATAGGGCTATAAAATGAAGTATTGCCAGGATTTTCAATGCAGTCTCGATAGAACTGAGTGCAGGGACCGCTCGCTGAAGCCCTCGCCTGCATCGGTGGAGAAGTTCTAACTACTCCTTCAGTGTTTGTTTATCTAACAGAGCCCACAGGCAGTAAACTGAGCCAAAGGGAGACGCTGGGGGCTTTGCGAAGCCTGTCACTTGGAAATACCGCGTCAGCACAGGTTTTCTCTGGCTGGAAGCGAGCTACACCCCAGGCTCCCAGCACCGGCAAGGCGGCGTCCGTCCCAGCCGCTGCCGCAGCAGCTATGGGTACCAGACCCAGTGGAAGCCGGTGTCAAGGCCAATACCGGGCGGGGAACCTAGGACCACGGTCTACCAGGCTTCAAACCGAGTCCCGGCCCCACCACGGACTTTTCCTTAGTGGGGTTTGCAGGCCGGGGAAGGAGAGGCTGCGCATGCCGGGCGGTGGTCAGTTCTCAGTAGATGCTCCATACCGCCATCCGCCTGGCTGTCTGGCTCCCACCGGAAGAGTGGGGAGGGGGGGCTCGGGAGCAGTGGGCAGGGGGCGGATTTGATGACTGCGGAAAAGCTCGGTGGCTTCCCCAGGGACACACGACAAAGATGCAAAACCCCATGCCGCGCCCGCTTCGGTTCCGGCCCCGCCCCGGCGCGAAAGACCCAGAAAAGCCTGCAAAGAGGGGTTCGCGCTCCTGAGTTTGCACACAGACTGCACCGGCAGGGAAGTTGCTGAGGGCGGAATCCCAGGGACCCCGCCCCATCGCAGCTCCCGCCCGGGGGCAGGTGGCGGGGCGCTCCCCTACCTTGGTAGCGGGATCCGCGTCGGCGATGGCGGGGTCGCCATCTGCGCTCGGCGTCGCCGCGGCCGCGGGGCCATCACCGCCGAGCTCCAGCTCGGTCGGCGTGTCGCTCCCCGCCGTCGTCTGCTCCGGGCTGCGCTGCTCGGTGGAACTGCCCGCGCCCATGGCTCCGGGTGGCTCTCCTGCTCCCTGTCGCCGGCTTGGCGCCTTCCCGAGATCTCAGGGACGCCGGCAGCGAGCGAGGAGACGTGCGCCCGCGAGGTCCCACGAGCGCCCTGCTTTCCTTGGTCCTGCTGCCAACGCGCCGGGACTGCGAATGAAAGCCACCTCGTAGCCTCCTCCCCCCGCCTTGTTTTTCCCTCGCTTCATCACATGAGCGCAGCCCAGACACGCCTTGCAGCATCTACCCCCGGGCGGCTAGGACCAGAGGCGCGGCCAGACGCCACCCAGGTCCCCGGCTGCAGCCCACCCCGCCCCCAGGGCGCCTTTCGTCCCTAACTGGGGACTACAGCTGGTGGCTCTACCCTGGGCTGCTGAAGGGGAAGGGACAGCCAGAAAGAAGGGGGAGCCCGAAGCTTCCTGGCGGGCACCCTGGGGTGGTTGGGGTTTTTATTCTGTGATTGATAACCCCAAAACCGGGGCTCCTGCTGCCCCCGCCTTGCAAGGGTTACCAGGCGCGAACCCAAATCCTTATTTGCTTCCCTGCAGACGGTCTGACTCTAAGCTTCTGTGCATGCCTCCTCTCCATTAGCAAGAGAAAGGAAGCGCTCCTGGGCTCCTCCTGAGCCTGGCCATATTAGGGCGGCTCACGTGGCCGGAGCTGGGGAACCGAGAGGTTGCTGCAGTCTGACCACCCCTGAGGTGGGCCCGGCTTCCCCATCACCCAGAGCCTGTGATGTCAGTCGATGCCATCAGCAGCACAGCCGCCCTCCTTCCCCTGGGAACGCGGGGGAAATGAAGCCGTTACTGGAAATGTGCCTGTCCTTCGAGCGTCGGAGGTTACCCATCCAGGCCAATCTTCTCTCCTGACGCTGAAAGAGGTTGCATAGGTCTGTTCCTTCGCCATCAGTATTCTCAAAACATGAAGACTTAAAGACTAGTCGCTGAAGGGGCCTTACATTTTTTACCCCTTCCTCCTCTTGAATAAAGTATTCATTATATGAATGTAGGCAGTCAATACATCTTTGACCTAAATTAATATGTTTAGCGGATGATTCGGCACTAAGCATGAAAGTGCTAGGACTGAAAAGCAAAAAGTATCCCAGGTGAGCCCCATGCTGTGGCTCACCGTTCACCTTGATTTTGAGACCAGTCTGGGTTACATAGTGAGTTCCCACCCGAGCCCCAGAATAAATAAATAAATAAATAAATAAATAAATAAATAAATAAATAAATGGATAAATAAAATACCTAGAGCACTGAACCTAGATATCTGGTAAATATTCCACCCCCAGATTTAGTATAGGTTGGTTGAGTGTCGAAGTAAACAGTAATTGAACTAAGGAACATCTGTCCTTCATTCATGGTCATATAAGGACACATTGGAAACAACTTAGTTTTCCATTATAAATGTTTTTCTGAATTCATTTTTTTTGAAGGTGTACACAAATGCCAATTTCTCTGGAAATTATTCCTTTAGAAACAGATTTCCAAGCTGTTTGCTTTTGGTAACTTATATGCCGTCACCTACCTCGATTTTGTTTTGTTTTATTCTATGCTGTTTAGCTTTTTGAGATGGTCCCATATAGTCCAGGCTAGCCTTGAACTCCATAGACTCACTCTCTGGAGAGATGACATCACAGGCTATGTAACCACTCTGTTTGAACTTAAATTATCATTATTTAGGGACGATTACCCCTCCCCCCATGATGCTATGGATGGATGTGAGCCCATGTGCATGTGAGACAAGCACGCTAGTACTGAGGTGTATCTCTAGCCCAAACAAGAGCATTCTTGTTTTCTATCAGGTACTATTCCAAGGGCTTTGCATATATAATCCTTATAATAACTCAGTAGCACAGCTCCTATTGAGAAAGGGGAGGGGATTGGCCAAAGAAATCAAATCTCATGTACCCAAGGTTTCATAGCTGGTAGACAGATGAGCAAGGCATCCAATAGGCATGTGCCTTCAAAGCCTACATTTAACCATGGTAGCTCATCACCCTTCTGCAAAGAAGCCTTCAAAGTGCTTTCCCTTCCTCTCAGAGGTGTTAGTGAAGAGAGGCATTTGGACTTCAGTTAGGATAGTAGGAACTTAAAAATGCTGTTGAAGCAGTTTGAAGGCTAGAGAACAGCGCAGGAGCAGAGCACATGTTCATGTGCACTGGGTTCTATCCCAACACCCAATAAGGTGGGGCTTATTTGAGAACAATTGATATCAGTGCATTTAAAAAATGTTGCAGAAGGTACTATTTGTACTACCGCCTTTGATACAAATCGTACCAGAGTTCTCCCATTCTGTGCGATTGTATTATTCAGTTCTTGGGAAATTCTTGACAAAGCTTTTCACATCCACTAGCCTTGAAATGTTCAGAAAAGATGACAAGGTCACAGACTTCCAGCCAGCATTATACAGCCCATTCATTGCCTGTGGCCTGCTTAGATCACAAGCTGCTTCCTTTAAGCTATCATCCAGGTTGTAAAAATGTGCATATTCTTAAACTGAGGGGCTGGGGAGATGGCTCAGTCATTTTGGATCCCCAGTACCAATACAAAAAAAGCCAGGCAAGGTGGGCTTGCCAGCACCAGAGAGGTAGAAATGGGAGGATCTTGGAGCTCCCTGGCCAGGGTAGCAAAACCAGTGAGCTCCAGGTTCAGAAAAAGACCTTGTTTCAAAAACAACCTCAAGAGCAATTGAGGAAGGCACTGCCATCGATCTCTGGCCTCCACATGTACATGCACACACATGCATTCTCATCTGCACACATGTGTGCATGCATACATAAATAAATGCACAGACATGCAACTATGTGCACATACACAGACACACAAACACACACACATACACACACACACAAAAAAACCATAAAATTGAGTCAGGTATGGTGGTACACCCCTGTAATCCAAGCACTTGGGAGGCTGAGGCAGGAAGACCCTATCTCAAGAATGCAAAAAATCAAACCAAAACATAAAAAGTAAAATTGTATTTTAAGGGTCTAGGGGTATATACAGGTCCATATATAAGAGTGTTTTCTTAGCCCATTTGAAGCCTTGAGTTTAATTCCCAGTATGATAAAAGAAATATATTTTAAGAACTGTATACATTCCAATATTCTCTATTCTGCCCAAAATACTTCCACAATAAGGGGCTAGAAAGTAAGAGTGACAGACTCTGCCAGGCATGTGGCAGAGGCCTATAATCTCAGCACTGGGGAAGCTAAGGCAAGGAGATTGCCATGAGTCCAAGGACAGCCTGGGTAAGTTTGAGGGTAGCCTGGGCTATATAGCAAGACCCTGTCTCAAAATAAATAAACTAATTAAAATTAAAGAGACAAAATTAAAGAGACAAGTGTGATGGCATATTCCTGTAATCCCAGCATTTGGGGGGTGGAAGCAGGAGGATCAGGAATTCAAGGTCATCCTTGGTTATATAGTGAGTTCCAGGCCATGCTCTAACTCATCCTCCCCAGGTTTTCTGCAGTACCAGTGATCAAACCCCTGGAATCTGGGGCTTTGACCATGCTAGGCAGGCACTCTACCAACTGGGCTATATCCCCAGCCCCTCCACACGCATTTATTGAGTGCCTATTCTGTGCTGAACAGTTACAACTGTTTTCTACCCAAGGTTCAAATTCAAGTCTCTGAGGTTTTCTTGCCTTTGGTTTGAGAGAAGCCTCAAGAATTATTCTTGTGGCCTCTGTGGTGGTGTAGGAGGCAGCTGGCCTGTTTTCCACCCCTCCCTGGGAGGCGTCGGTTACAAGGATTCTGGCCAGCAGCCCTGCCACTTTCTGACACACTATAGGGTGCAGGTGTCTTCCCCTACACTCCCCAGGGGCAGTCAGTGACCCACGCCTTTCCCCTGAGAGGGTTAACTCTCTCATAAAAACAGTTTGAGATTTCTCAAAAACAAATACACATTGCCGGTACAGCAGGCTGAACTTGTACTTCTTAAGTTTTCGTCCCCAGGAAAACTGGTCACACAAGATTTGCCAAGAAAATGTGGAGTCCTGTTTGAGCATCTTATGTGAACACTCAGGGTTTTAAATTGTTGTAGAAAGAAAGAAGCCAAACACCATGGCGTTGTTTGATAGGACACCAGGTTGCAAATAAAAATAATGAACAATAATACAGTGTGTAGCTCAAAATAGAAGAAATATATAAAGAAATGTATTCATTTTTTTACCTTGGGTTTGAGAGAAGCCTGAAGAATTATTCTTGTGGCCTCTGTGGTGGTGTAGGAGGCAGCTGGCCTGTTTTCCATCCAGTTTTGAGGCAAGGTCTCAGGGCTGAGGCTATAGCTCAGTGGTACAGCACTTGCCTAAGGAGACCCTAAGGTTCAAGTCTCAGTACCACCAGAAAAGAAAAAGGGAAAAAGACAGGGTCTCATGTAGCCTAGGTTGACCTCGAACTTGCTATGTAGCCAAGACTGGCCTGGAATTCCCAATTTCCTGTTTCTACTTCACAAGTGCTGGGATTAGAAGTGTTCACCATCATGCCTGTGTTTATGTAGTGGCTCATGTAAGGATCAAGTCTAGAGCTCTGAATGTGGTAGGTAAGCACTCTGTAGACTGAACTGATTCTCAGCTCAGAACTGATAAAAGTTTAAGGTGATGGATATGCTAATTACTCTGAGTTGGTTACTTGAACAGGTATTTAAAAATCAAAATAACATATTGTATTTCATAAATATGTAAAGATTGTATGTAAATGTAAATATATGTATATAATAACATAGTTTTCCATTTATATTTTTCTGTCTACTGTGGTTTCTAGTCTATATATGATCAATTATTTACAGAGAACTAATTCTTAGAACTGCCACTACTTTGTTCAAGATGAGTCTAAGTAAAAATAATTTCAAAAAGTAAAATAAAAATTTTAAAAAAAGCTGACTGTGGTGGATCATGTCTGTAATTTCAGCCCTCAGAAGACTGAGGCATGAGGCTAACCAGAGTTGGAGTTCAAGGCCAGTCTGGGTGACAGAACGAAACCTTGTCTCAGAAA